AACTAATTATGTGACTTCTGAAGGTAATTGGTTGCACCAGATCTTATTTAGGGGCTTCATAGCAAAGGGGGTGAATACATATGCACGCACCACTTTTCCATTATTAATTTTTTATACTTTTTGAAACAAGTTATTTTTTTCATTTCACTTCACCAATTTGGACTATTTTGTGTATGTCCATTACATGAAATCCAAATAAAAATCCATTTAAATTACAGGTTGTAATGCAACAAAATAGGAAAAACACCAAGTGGGATGAATACTTTTGCAATGCACTGTACCAGTATACGCCAAGACCTAAGACTCAGGAATTTTGGAGATACTAGTTAATTTGCAGCTAAATTATTCAGATAATTTATATTAAGAAAATGATTTCCCTAGCCGTTGAATATTTTATAGGGCCTGTCAAATATAACAAGTTAAGTTTGTCCAAATACAAATAATAATGACAATAATAATGTATTATTAATAAGAATGTTTGTAGGCACAAGTCTCCATCGGCAACAGAAATTGAATGTTACAATTAAACGTCCTAATTCATTGTCAGAAGCAACTTATACATTATATATTTGTGACTTAATTAGAAAGCACGTTCGGAAACGGCTTCCTTAACGACTTTCTACATCACAGCCTAATCAGAATAAATTCCCTGCGTAATGAATTAAAGTTGAATATTCGTTGGGCTGATTAAAAGAGGCTGTAACAATGAGTTATTTAAATGTTACTTAATGTTTCAGCATTCCAACCCGCAATAGGCACATATTATTCAATCCAAACTATCACAAAAGGCCAATCTTGCCGCTCGTTAGGAGCAGTGCTAACTTCTCCTCATATTTCAGGCAATCAATTCCGAAGCAGTTCTCTCACACATGCTGCTCCCTAGCTAGTCACATGGAAAGATGAATCTATCAATAATGATAGACAGGCTGGGAAATGACTCAACCAGTCCAGGCTGGAATTTAGAGGGATGAATGACGTACCTTGACAATCATAAATCAAAGAGAAATAACTCAAGATCTCTTATTTTACCCCCAATTTGATGCTGAAAAGAAACACTTAATTATTGTGTTTACCTAATTGAATATGGGCTTGTCATGTGTTCCAAATGCAGCTTTATAGTTTGGTAGCTGGTAGAATTATTGGGTGCAAAGTTTTGTATGATTCTAACTGAATTGGATTATTGATATGTTGTGTAAAATGATTATTAGTGTGTTAATTTACTGTTTTCCACACTTTTCTTTACTCTTTATCTCTCCTTTTTGTATGACATCATAGGGAGTAATTTTCTTAGAACCTTATTTTCTTATACTTTTGACATAAGCAGGAAGAAACACGCTGTTTTCAAATATGTAGACATTGGTATGGTGATGGAGAGAATAAATATGATGTTTAAAAGTGATGAAATGCCCCTTTAATTAATAACTTACCATAGTTATATTCTGCTGTTAATGTTGTTATTCCCTCTGTAAAATAAGAGGCAAGCTTTGGTGAAAGCACTTTAAAGCATGTATTATCTGGTCCAAAGGTTTTCAAGACAGGTTAGAGAAGTGGTGTGAAAGGTTGTTAAATCGCACATACATTTAAAAAATCTTCATAGAAATATTCACTGCCGACTTCAAAGACATTATTGATGGCCGCACAATAGGTTGTTATTCATCATAAGACAAAAGATAAATTCATTCTGCTTGACTTAGATAGAGGAGGGCCACGGAGGCATTTTTCACATCTGTTGAAAACAATCTGCATAGCCGACGATACATCATGCCACAATATCCTTTTTAATGTAAACAACAAAGTTACATAATACATAATGAAATGATGCTTTCCTTCCTATTGGTGCATAAATATTAATATTTTAATACGAAATATATCATAACTACAGATATGGTTTAGGGACTTGTGGAAAGATTGTTTGTGATACATGTTATTGGTTCAAAACACTTTATTGTGTGATGCCACGTTGCCAATGATCATTTAATTTTGCACTAAAGCTGTAGTTCCATTTAGTACCACATAGCGGCAGTGTAAGCCAACAAAAAGAACCAACATGTTGTTCACGTGTATCCGAGTAAAATGAACATTTTATTGCTCTAACAAATAAATCCACTTATTTAACTGAAAATAAGTATAATTTTATTTTAACAATTTCACCCGCAATCGAGGCTGTTCAATCGTCAATGCCCACTGAAACTAAGCAATTTAATTCATTTCTCAGATAAAAAATACAAGATGTAGTTAATTCTATACTGTATTAATTCAAATAAATTCAATTTGTCCCTCCCTTAAGTCCCCCCTCAAAATGTTCGGGTGCATGACATGCCATTCAGTGGTGTTTTGCAATGGCTTGCCCAGAGAAAGACCAGCCTCAGCTGCGCAGGTTTTACAGTCCATTGTTCGACAGTCCATGTAAAATGAAGCCAGAATTAACCACAGTATGTACATTGAGTAAACACAGGACTTGAGGGAGGATTTTCACCTTGTTTTCTGGGTAGTTTCTCAGTTTGTACAGCTGCCAGGGCCGCCAGAGCACGTACACAAATGCCACCCTGGTTTTCTGGTGGCATGATGACATCTGTTGTTCAGCATGGCATTTTGATCAGGGCTGTTGAAATGAGTTTTATCCACGCTGACAGGCTCATAATGCAATAAATCTATTTGTATCTTTTTAATACAAAACAAAACAGAAGCACTACCAAAACTACAGGTTAAGGTTGTTGTACAGTACACACTGTTGTTCACAAAGGAACATTTGTATGAAAAGGGTTCAGATTGAGGGAAACACAAACAGGATGTTTTGGTTAGGACAACAAGGGTAGGCTATCAAGTAAATACAGTGCCGTCCGTAATTATTGGGACAGTGAAGCATTTTTATTTTATTTTGGCTCTGTACTCCAAAAGTTTGGATTTAAAATCCAACAATGACAGCGAGTTTAAAGTGCAGACTGTCAGCTTTAATTTGAGGGTGTTTTCATCCATATCGGGTGAACCGTTTAGAAATTACACTTTTTGTACATCGTCCCCCCATTATAGGACACCAAAAGTATTGGGACATATTCACTTATATGTGTGTTAAAGTAGTAAAAAGTGAAGTATTTGGTCCCATATTCATAGTATACAATGACTACATCAAGCTTGTGACTGTATAAATGTGTTGGATGCATTTGCTGTTTTGGAGTACTCAATACTCAGTACTCCTGTCCATGAGTCTTTACGCCACAGCACTATTCCATTTGACTAGGGTCTCATACACAGGACGTATCATAATGCCCCTGGGGTTTGGATCCATTAAGAGAGCAATATGTTGTCTGTACCTCAGCCCCCAATGGGCAGACCCTTTACCCTTTACACCAAAAACACATCTGACTGATGGCTTTTCTCCATTGAAGCTGAAAAGGACAGTTTCCCTTTTATATGTACACTACTGTATACACACTGAGTATACAAAACATTAAGAATACCTGCTCTTTCCAAGACATAGACTGACCAGGTGAATGCTATGATCCCTTATTGATGTCACTTGTTAAATCCACTTCAATCAGTGTAGATGAAGGGTAGGATACAGATTAAAGAATGATTTTTAAGTCTTGAGACAATTGAGACATGGATTGTGTATGTGTGCCATTCAGAGGGTGAATGGGCAAGACACAATATTTAAGTGCCTTTGAAAGGGTAGTAGCTGTCAGGCGCATCGGTTTGTGTCAAGAACTGCAACTCTGCTGGATTTTTCACGCTCAACAGTTTCCCGTGTGTCAAGATGGGCCACCACCCAAAGGACATCCAGCCAAATTGACACAACTGTGGGAAGCATTAGAGTCAACATGGGCCAGCATTCCTGTGGAATGCTTTTAATAATAAAATAATATGCCATTTAGCAGACGCTTTTATCCAAAGCGACTTACAGTCATGTGTGCATAAATTTTTACGTATGGGTGGTCCCGGGTATCGAACCCACTACCCTGGCGTTACAAGCGCCATGCTCTACCAATTGAGCTACAGAGGACTTTTGAAACCTTGTAGAGTCCATGCCCTGACAAATTGGCTCAGTGTATACCTAGACTTCTCCTGCCATTGAATAGCACAATGAGCAACAAACCTTGAGCACCAGTGCAGTGCCAATGTTGACATTTGCTTACATTTGGTTGGTAAATGTTTTTCCATGTAAATGTTTGTCCTCATCCTGCATATTTGAACGTCCGTAACTCTCTTCCCTCATAATGTACTGACTTCCATGTGACCCCTCCCTGTGCATTATCTCTGATTCTGTTTGTAAACACAAACCTGCATTTTAGACTTTGTGATCCTTCATACCTGGGCATGGGCTCCTGCCTGGCGCCACTCTAGAGCCAGGCCCAGTAGGATTTACTCTTAGTGTTACAGCAAGCTCTCACTCAACCCCAACTCTCCACTGGGCACAATGAGTTGCATTGTGTATTTTGTTTCAACATGAGGGCTGTATAGGACTCTTTTTTTAAAAATCATCTGAGCCATATAGGGGCCTTGCGGGTTGAGATTTTAGGTCACACACTCACACAGTCTTGTACAGCTAACCTTGTGGGGACACACAATTCAGTCCCATTCAAAATCCTATTTTCCCTAACCCCTACTCTTACCCTAACCCTAACCTTAACCCTAAACCTAACCTTAACCCAAAAACCTAACCTTAACCCTAACCCTAAACCTAACCCTAAACCTAATTCTAACCCTAACACTAATTCTAACCTTAACCCTAAACTCCCCTCTTCTGGTCCCCACAAGAATAGTTAAACACGTCAACACACACACACACACATACACACACACACACACACACTCCTCTGTAGACTTGTGCACCCCACCAAGCCCTGCATTGGCAACAACAGCTTGGCCTGGCCATATAAACCCTTTGTACAGATTGACTGGGAATTGGGCAGGATAGAATACTAATTTCCATTCACTTGAATAAACGTAACACTCTTTGGCTGGGTCCTTGCAGTTCTATGCCAAAGTCAGGGAAGAAATCTGACAAAATCACTTTATTGCAAAGGAAGCCAAATAAGCTTAGTTTTACAAAACATTTTCAGGGTTGACAGAGAAAAGTGGTGAAAAGGAATGTCTTAAAGACTTCACAACTACAATCTGTTTCTGATGGGCTTCAATTCAAAATTGCCTGTAGGAACATTGCAATGGACCAAGCTTGGTTGCAATCGATTAGAACAGAACATTGAGCAAAAAATAGCTATTATTGGCTGATTCACACTGTGCCCATTGGCTGTTTAGTTATTTGCCCTGGTCTGAGATCTGTACTTGGAAATGATGCCGGCGTACTCCCTTCCAGAGCGGTACGGGGTCCGTGGTCGCTCCGGTCGAGAGAAGTCCACGTGGAACAGGCCGAATCGAACGCTGAACCCGTCGGCCCATTCAAAGTTATCCAGGAGAGACCAGGCGAAATAGCCTCGAACGTCAACACCATCCTCTCTGAGAGCTAGAACAGAGAGACAAACAACAAGTGAATAACATACATGGGATTTTTATAAAACATACATGTGACAGTGCGCATTAAGGTGTAATGTGAAAATACTTTGTTCACACATTACAAAAGGACAAGATCCCGTTGTATTATGATTGCTGTAGTCTCTCGCTCAACCTTCTCCATTGACGTGAAATAGCCTACATACTGTACCTAATTCAACAGAACAGGTTCATCAAAGAAGGATTCAAGTCACTCAGCCCCCTGTAACTTAGATTGTGGATCATGCATAAATACTATGATTTTATGTGCGAAGCAAACCTTCAGAGGTTGAGATAGTACAAGTAGTGACTGGATTGAATTTCAGAATAAATTCACATTAAATAATTATAGATTCTCCATAATATACGGCAGCTCTATAGCGGCCACTTTCTGGTCATTACCTCTGGCTACTTCCTGGATGATGTCATGGTAAAACCCACAGCGCTGGACGTCTTCCATGTCCACTGGCCCCATCTGGGAGAAGCCATTTTCTGTGATGTAGATCGCAGGGTTGTTGAATGTGTCCTGTGAAAGAAAGCGGTAGCTATCATTGTCCAACAAGACATGCAGTTCAATAATGACAGTCAAACAACACAGTGGAAGGCTTTAAAGTACAGTGGGGTGTGTGTGTGTGTGTGTGTGTGTGTGTGTTCTGGCTTTTGTTGGTTTCGTTGCACAAAGATGGTTGGAGGGCCACACATCAGAGAATGTTGACTTGAATGGGAATATGTTGTTTTAAATTAAACTCCATAGGAAACCTATCGAAATCATACAAATATAGATCATAGAAAAGACATGACCATTTAAATTGACATTCGATGGTGGGTGGACTGGCGGTCCTCTTTGTGGTATTAGAAGTTACCATTTCAATAACATTTCAATTTAAAATGGGGTACTAGCTAAATTGGATTCAAATCGATTTACCCCTGTGACAACCCGCGACAGCAGGATATTTCTCATTCTCAAAAAACTGTTTACACTTCAAGCAATCAATGTGACACAATTCAATGTGACAACTGTAATGGGTCCTCCATCTGTTTACTGTGCAAAAAAACAAACAATAGCAAGCAACTCTATTAATGTTAAATGTTTTCTCCTCACTAAAGGTTTGGCTCAATTTGATTGGCTCAAGGCAGGTGATTCAATTCAAGAATCGAATAATCCTTAAATGGAAAATCATGGGAAATGATTGATTCTCAAACTTAATTTAATCCTCTGAATTGACTGCTTTCGAATCGAGCCTACCCTATTAACCTGGGCACTGTTCGGATATTTAAAAAATGTGTACTTTCCTTAAAGTAATCACTGATCTGACATGATGTGGATTGGAGGAAGTGGTGAGGTGGAACTTTTAAAACGTTGTTTTATTTTTTGTAAGTATTGGAACAGGACCCTGGTCCTCTTTACCTTAACGTACATCAGCAGTTTCCTCAGGCCGTCAGGAACCACAGCCAGCCATGACACTCCACATACCGGCCAGGACGGGTCCACCACCCCTTCTGCATCCTGGTCACTCTTCAACCCCAACACCCCTGGACAGCCTTCACCCGGCTTCACCCTTCGAGATGTATAGTAGTTCAACGCAAAAAAGTCAGCCGTGCCGAGAAGACTAGGCTCGTCCTTGGAGAACCTGGGCAGTCTAGAACCTTCTTGGTAACCCAGTTCTTTGCTTCTGACCTCAATACTAGACCTCATCACTTCTGGGTAGTCTCCAGTAACAAACAAGGGCCACGCAAACCAACCTAGTGTAAAGGCCAGGTATCGTTCAGTGGCGGCCGTGTCATCAGGGCTGGCCGGGTCCAACGGTTCAGCCCAGTCACTATTAATCGCTAAGGACACCGAGCCACCCTGTTTTGCCCTGTAGAGTACGTTGTAGCTGTGCCAGGCCCTGGCATGGCCACGTAGCATGTTGTGGCCAACCAGGTAGGCAGCAATCCCTGGTTCTTTTACCCCTGGGGCAAAGATGCCATCCTCGTGGCCCAGTTTAGCGCACACGTACGGCTCGTTCAAAGTGATCCACAGTTTCACACGGTCCCCGAACGTTTCAAAGCAGAAGCGGGCGTAGCTGTCAAAGATGGCCGCCATCTCAGGTGATTTCCAACCTCCCTGGTCTTGGAGAGCTTGTGGCAGGTCAAAGTGGTACAGGGTAACCATGGGCAACACGTCACTAGCCAGCAAATCATTGATCACTTTGTTGTAGTATCGCAAACCTGCAGGACAGAGACACGTAGCTTAGTAGTAAATCATGGGTATCAAGGCCAAATTAGGTTTACAAGACAAAAGGGTCCAGAGCCCTTGACAGAGTTTGTGGTACTGCATTGTTTACATAAACAAAAGCCTGGTCGAAACACAATAACGTATGATATATATATATTTTTAATATCATACCATATGTCATAGCCATTCACCACAAATAAATACTGGAGGAATCTTAATCCTAAGTAACCACTAAATAGTCTCAAGGTAAGTCTTCAAGATGGGTCCCCTGACTACACGGCTACCTTTTTGATTGACATGTCGTGTTGTCCCCTCCGGTAGCAGGCGGGACCAGGACAGAGACAGGCGGTAGTGGGTCAGGCCTAGCTGGCGGATACATCGGAGGTCCTCTTCCCAGAGCTCATAGCTGTTACAGGTGACATCTCCACTCTGGCCCTCCAACACTAGTCTGCCCCCCTCGTGACAGAACGTGTCCCAAATGCTTGGTCCCTTGTCATCCGCATCCCAGCCTCCTGCAAGGTTAATTTCATAGCAGTATTGATCACGCATAACGCACTGTTTTATTATTTTTATTTTTATGTCTATTAAAGGCCTACAATTCCTAAAAATACTTATTGTACTGTATCCTTTGGAAAGTATTCAGACCCCTTCACTTTTTCCAAATGTTGGATTAAATTGTTTTCCTCATCAATCTACACACAATAACCCATAATGACAAAGCGAAAACAGGTTTTTAGAAATGTTTGTAAATTTATAAAATAAAATAATTGATCATCCTTGAGCTGTTCTACAACTTGATTGGAGTCCACCTGTGATCAAATCAATTGATTGGACATGATTTGGAAAGGCACACACCTGTCTATACAAGGTCCCACAGTTGACAGTGCATGTCAGAGTAAAAACCAAGCCATGAGGTCGAAGGAATTGTCCGTAGAGCTCCGAGACAGGATTGTGTCGAGGCACAGACCTGGGGAAGGGTACCAAAACATTTCTACAGCATTGAAGGTCCCCAAGAACACAGTGCCCTCCATCATTCTTAAATGGAAGAAGTTTGGAACCACCAAGACTCTTCCAAGAGCTGGCCGCCGGCCAAACCGAGCAATCAAGGGAGGAGGGCCTTGGTCAGGTAGGTGACCAAGAACCTGATGGTCACTCTGACAGAGCTCCAGTTCCTCTGTGGAGATGGGAGAAACTTCCAAAAGGACAACCATCTCTGCAGCACTCCACCAATCAGGCCTTTATGGTAGAGTGGCCAGACGGAAGCCACTACTCAATAAAAGGCACATGACAGCCCACTTGGAGTTTGCCAAAAGGCACCTAAAGGACTCTCAGACCATGAGAAACAAGATTCTCTGGTCTGATGAAACTAAGATGGAACTCTTTGACCTGAATGCCAAGCGTCACGTCTGGAGGAAACAAGGCACCGCTCATTACCTGGCCAATACCATCCCTATGTTGCAGCATGGTGGTGGCAGCATCATGCTGTGGGGTTGTTTTTCAGCGGCAGGGACTGGTAGACTAGTCAGGATCGAAGGAAATATGAACGGAGCAAAGTACAGAGAGATCCTTGATGAAAATTTGCTGCAGAGCGCTCAGGACCTCAGACTGGGGTGAAGGTTCACCTTCCAACAGGACAACGACCCCAAGCACACAGCCAAGACAACGCAGGAGTGGCTTCGGGACAAGTCCCTGAATGTCCTTGAGTGGCCCAGCCAGAGCCCGGACTTGAACCCGATCTAACATCTCTGGAGAGACCTGAAAATAGCTGTGCAGCGACGCTCCCCATCCAACCTGACAGAGCTTGAGAGGATCTGCAGAGAAGAATGGGAGAAACTCCCAAAATATAAGTGTGCCAAGCTTGTAGCGTCATACCCAAGAAGACTTGAGGCTGTAATCGCTGCCAAAGGTGCTTCAACAATGTTCTGAGTAAAGGGTTGTAATACTTATGTAAATTTAATCTTTTTTTTCTTTTTTTTTACATTTGCAAAAATGTATAGAAACCTGTTTTTTATTTGTCATTATGGGGTATTGTGTGTAGACTGATGAGGGGGGGAAACAATTTAATACATTTTAGAATAAGGCTGTAATGTAACAAAATTAGGAAAAAGTGAAGGGGTCTGAATACTTTCCGAATGCACTGTAAATATATAGGCTACTGTGAGTCTATAGTTCCTCATTCTGTAGTTAAATGTATACATAACTTCATTAATAATTAACTATTAGGCTACTATCAAGACATGATACAGTGGTTGAGATAAACTCTTGAGTTAGTCCCCCTTCTGCATTACAGATCCAACTGTAGCCTACCGGTAGCAAGCAGTTGTGTTTGTGTAGGCTAGCCTACTTCTCGCGTTTGGCCAGAGAAGCTCGTCTCAGGGACGCGGATTAGCTTTCCTAATCAAATTACTGTATCTACAAATGCACAAAAAAAATCACGTGTACAGTTTGACCGCCGGCGCCAGACAAATTCTTATTACATACCCTCGATTTGATAAGCGGCTGTAGCCGCGCCCCATGCAAAGTTTGTCGGGAACATGGTTTCAGCGTCGTTTGTATGCATACAATTCCATTCAGGGCTGTTGGTTCTATTTGTCTACATGTAAAAAAAACACTAAACAACTCTCTTGGTCAAGCAAGCGTTAGTTAGAGTTAAAGGAGTTACATGGTCAATCTGTCCTCTGCATTGGCTGTGCAGCATTTAAACCGTGATACAGTCTCTGCAGAAGTCAGAGCATTCATACTTCTTGCGCTTCGTATAGCAGCGCAGAACTGTTAAGCAGAGCTAATTTGAAGGAAGTTTTCAAGGAAGTGAGTTTGTGTTTATACATGACCTACGTACGGTCAATGACGATGCGGAGCTATACGGAGTCCTCCGCATTATTCCAACATTTGGGAGGTGAACCGCGGTGCGGTACAGAGCTCAATTTGGCAACTGCATGCCTCTGGAGGCTCCGCTATTGCGTCACACCCTCCATACAGAGCCTCCGATCATATTTTCAGATCAAGCATAAATTAGCTTTTAGTTACGTACACTCTGAGTCCTCGCTCCTCCTATGCGTTACACCACTAGGGCTTGTTCGCAAGCGTCGTTGTGAACTCGCCCTGCGCACGTTCACAAATTCTGTTTGTAGGCTACAAAAAGGATGTAGTAAAAAAAAAAACATAGTTGGAAGATGAGTCTGTCCCTCAGACTCAACAGTAAGGGCCTTACAGTAGAGTGGGCTATCCCCGAAGTCGAGTGCCTATGCTCCTTCACCCTGCAACCCGGCGACTCTTCAGGATCGTCCAGGCCAGAGCTTCAACCTTAGAACACTATGAGAGGCTCCTTCCCGGGTTGGTTTAGCCCAGAATCTCCCCTCCTACGACTACTACCAATGCACTCAAATCAAATCAAATTGTATTTGTCACATGCACCGAATACAACAGGTGTAGACCTTACAGTGAAACGCTTACTTACAAGCCCTTAACCAACAATGCAGTTTTAAGAAAAATAAGTGTTAAGAAAGTATTTACTAAATAAACTGAAGTAAAAAGCAAACCCAAATTTTTTTTTTTGAAGAAATTAACTAATAATTAAAGAGCAACAATTAAATATCAGTAACGAGGCTATATACAGGGGTTCCCCCCCTGCAAATTGGCCGGGCCCCAGCAAAATTTTTTTTTTTTTTTTTAAAAACCGTTTGAAAACGGGGGGGGCCCCCTCTGGGGGAAAGGGGGGGGTTTTCCCCCATACTTTTTTCCCTTTTTTGGCCCTTTTAAAAAAAACCCCCCCCAAAAACCCCAAAACTTATAACCCCCAAAAATTTTTTGAAGGAAAAGTTTTAAGGAAATAAAAAGTTTTTGGGGTTTTAAACCCAACCCATGGGTTAAAAAATGGGGGGTTTAACATTTTATTAAATTATAAAAGGGTGGGTAAAACCCAACAATTTTTTTTTGGGAAAAAATAACCCTATTTTTTAAAGACAAGCAAAATTTAAAATTTTACGTAACACCTTTCCCCCCAGGTTTCACGGGGGGCCCCAATCGGGAAATGTATTTTAAAAACGGGGGGGCACAAAAAAGGGGTAAAAAAAAAAATATTTGGGGGGGGGTTAACCCAAATGGGGTCTTGGGGGTAAGCATTTGTTTATGAAAAGGGATCTTAGGTTGGGAAAGAGAAAAAACCTTAAAAACTTGGAGGGCTCTTCCCGGGGGGTTTTTAGCCCCAAAACCCCCCCAGTCAAAATGAATCAAACTCTTGTTTTTTTTAAGCCCCCTACACGGTGTGACTTACGAAAACCGTTAACCCCCTTTAACCACAATGCTTTTAAAAAATAATTTTAAAAATTTTACGCGGGTCCAAAAAATTTTTTTTTAAAAATAACAAATTTAAACAATTTTTAAATTCAAAAACGGGCATGGGGTTGGTTTTTTAAGGGCTTGAATAAGGGGTTACAAAGGAAAAAAAGGGGGGGTTTAATGAAAATTGGGGGGGGGGGAAATAAAATTTGTTTGGTTGTTTCTTTTTGCTTGGGGGTAGAATTTTTAAAAAGAACTTTGGACAGTTTTGAAACCCGGGAAAAAGGCCCTTTTAGGGAAAACTTTATATCTGATCGGAAATTTTTGGGGCCCAACCCCCCCACATATTTGAGGTACCCCCTTTTTCCCCCCACATTTTTATTTTTTCCCCTCTTTAAATTTTTTGTTTTTTTTTTAAATCTTTTTTACTTCCCTTTTTTCTTCTTGGGATTTTTTAAGGGGTTTAATAAATTCGGGAATTCCCCCTTTTATACTTGGGGTAAACTTTTTTTTTATCATTACATTTAACTCCCCGAACCTTTTGCTTTAAACAAAAAAACCTGAGTAACTTTTTTCCTGAATAAACCAATTTGGGGGAAACCCCAAAAACCTCCGGGTTACCCTCTTATTTTTTCCCAAGCATTGTGGCTCTTGGTTGGTTGCTTTCGGCAAGGACGGGTTTTTAGGATAAAAAAAAACAATAAGCTTAGAAAAAAAAATACTGGGCCTGGTTCAGTGTCCGGTTCGGCGAGACGTCCTCCTCCTGGTCGGGCAGGTTTGGGCGTTCGCCCCCCCGGGAGACACTGCACCGTTAAATGTTTCGTGGTGTTTTGCTTTGGTGGTTTGTACACCTGTGTCTGTTTGTGTTCTGATTACGTGTCCTATAAGTTCCCTGTTTGGTATTGGTTAGATTGTGTGTTGTTGTCTGCCTGTATTTTCGGAGCTGCGTTTTGATGCTCTGTTTGTTTGTTTAGTGTTTACGCATGGTTTACGTATTCACTCGCCTCGGTTTGTTTTCGAGGCCGTGTATTGTAATTTAGCACTTTTGACTAGTAAAGTCTGTTGGACGAAGCCTCTGTGTCCTGCGCCTGACTCCTCCACCACATCCACATCGGTTCTACTGACAGAACAACACACCAACCATGGAGTCAGCAGGAGCAGCTGCGACACCCAAGTCGCTGGAGGAACGGATCAGCTATCAGGACACCATGATCCGGCAACTTGGGTCCGCCATGGACGAGGTGTCCAACACTCTGCGCCGGTTGGTTACTGGGGAGGTGCCCACGTCTTCTTACACCATCCCATCACCAACGGCCAGTCCTCCTCTCTCAGCACCGGAACCCAGGGGCATTCGGCTCTCGCTCCCGAGGGCATATGACGGTTCTGCAGCCGGGTGTCAAGGGTTCCTCCTGCAGGTGGAACTTTACCTGGCTACCCTACACCCAGCGCCCTCGGGATACGAGAGCGTCTCCGCCCTCATCTCCTGTCTATTCGGCAAGGCGTTGGAGTGGGCCAACGCCGAATGGAGGGGAATAGACGCCGCTACCATCACCTACGCGGAGTTCTCCCGCCGCTTCAGGGCTGTCTTCGATCACCCACCTGAGGGAAAGGCGGCGGGGGAGCGTCTGTTCCACCTCCGACAGGAGAAGAGGAGCGCACAGGAGTTCGCCCTGGAGTTCCGGACTCTAGCGGCGGATGCGGGGTGGAATGAGAGGGCCCTCATCGACCATTACCGGTGTAGCCTACGAGAGGACGTTCGTTGTGAGCTGGCCTGCAGGGACACCAACCTATCCTTCGACCAGTTGGTGGACATCTCCATCCGTCTCGACACCCTGCTGGCTACCCGCGGACGTCCCGAGTGGGGGTCGTCCTTTCCACCCTCCAGCACCTCCGAGCCGATTCCCATGGAGCTCGGGGGTGCTGGCGCTAGAGAGAGGAGGAGAGAGAACCCGAGGGGGGCCATCCCCTGCACCAACTGTGGCCGTGGAGGACACACCGCGGCCAGGTGCTGGGGAGGGTCTCCTGGGAGAGGGGACAACAGGTCACGCACTGGGGAGTCATTTCAGGTGAGTAGGCGCCCCACTTACCCAGAGCTCTCTGTTGGTCACATGAGTATTCCTGTGAGATTTCCACAGGTGGCACCTCATTCCCAGCATAAGGCGCTAGTAGATTCAGGCGCAGCTGGGAATTTTATTGATCGTGCATTTTGTCATAGGTTAGGAATTCCCCTTCGGCCGGTAGAAGCCCCCTTTCCTGTCCACGCCCTAGACAGCCGGCCGTTGGGGTCGGGGCTGATCAGAGAAGTCACAGCACCACTTAAGATGACGACGCAGGGGGGTCATGAGGAGATCATTCAGTTTTATCTGATTGACTCTCCTGCGTACCCCGTGGTGCTGGGGCTTCCCTGGTTAAGCGCCCATGATCCTACCATTGCGTGGCAACAGAGGGCTCTTATGGAGTGGTCTGCCCAGTGTGTAGGGAAATGTCTAGGTGTTTCCTTAGGGGCGACCTCGGTAGAGAGTCCGAACCAAGTGCCCGCAATGCGCATTCCCCCTGAGTATGAGGACTTAGCACTTGTGGTCAGCAAAACGAGGGCAACACGGCTACCACCTCATAGACAGGGGGACTGTGCGATAAATCTCCAAACAGGAGCGGCACTTCCGCGGAGCCGTGTGTATCCCCTGTCTCAAGAGGAGACTGCGGCTATGGAGACTTACATAGCCGAGTCCTTGGCACAGGGATACATTCGGTCCTCCACTTCCCCGGTTTCCTCGAGTTTCTTCTTTGTGAAGAAGAAGGACGGGGGTTTGCGCCCGTGCATTGATTACCGTAGTCTCAATCAGATCACGGTTAAGTACAGTTACCCTCTTCCACTGATTGCGACTATGACGGAGTCATTACGCAGAGCGCAGTTCTTCACAAAGTTGGATCTCAGGAGCGCGTACAATCTGGTGCGCATTAGGGAGGGGGATGAATGGAAAACGGCATTTAGTACCACCTCGGGTCATTACGAGTATCTCGTCATGCCATACGGGTTAATGAATGCTCCTTCAGTCTTCCAATCCTTTGTTGACGAGATTTTCCGGGACATGCATGGGCAGGGTGTGGTAGTGTACATCGACGACATCCTAGTGTACTCTTCTACACGAGCCGAGCATGTAGCCCTGGTGCGCCGAGTGTTGAGAAGACTGTTGGAGCATGACTTGTATGTCAAGGCAGAGAAATGCCTGTTCTTCCAGGAGTCCGTCTCCTTTTTGGGTTATCGGTTGTCCGCGTCTGGTGTGGAGATAGAGGTAGACCGTGTGTCGGCCGTGCGTAATTGGCAAACTCCAACCACTGTAAAAGAGGTGCAGCAGTTCTTGGGTTTTGCTAATTACTACCGGAGGTTTATCCGGGGCTTTGGACAGGTTGCAGCTCCCATTACGTCCCTGCTAAAGGGGGGTCCGGTTCGTTTGCAGTGGTCAGCTGAGGCGGACAGGGCATTTGTCAAACTGAAGAACCTGTTCACCTCGGCCCCGGTGCTGGCGCATCCGGATCCCTCTTTACCATTCCAAGTA